CCCGGAAGCGGGGTGTGGATAGTGACCTGTGCTCGCACACAGGCTTCTTTGTGGCGGCAGCAGCAGCCTTAGCGTCTCATGCCTGTCTCTGGGGTCCGCTCTTTTAGCCGTGGCTCGCGCCCGTCTCTGGAGCTCCTTTAAGCAGCGCTCTTAATCCCCTCTCCTCACGCACCAGGAAACAAAGAGGGAAGAAAAAGTCTCTTGCCTCTTCGGCAGCTCCAGACTTTTACCCGGACTCCCTCCCGGCCAGCCGTGGCGCACTAACCCCCTGCAGACTGTGTTCACGCCGCCAACCCCAGTTCTCTCCCGGTGCTCCAACCAAAGCCCGGGCCACAGTTCCCAGCCTCCGCCCGCCCTGGCAGGTGAGCAGACAAGACTCTCGGGCTGGTGAATGCCGGTCGGCCCTGATCTTCTGTGCGGGGATCTCTCCTCTTTGCCCTCTGCACTCCTGCTGCTGTGCTCTCCTCCGCGGCTCCGAATCTTCCCCCCTCTGCCACCCGCAGTCTCTGCCCGCGAAGGGGCTTCCTAGTGTGTGGAAACATTTCCTTCTTCACAGCTCCCTCCCACTGGTGCAGGTCCCGTCCCTATTCTTTCGTTTCTGTTTATTCTTTTTTCTTTTGCCCTACCCAGGTATGTGGGGGGTTTATTGCCTTTTGGGAGGACTAAGGTCTTCTGCCAGCGTTCAGTAGGTGTTCTGTAGGAGTTGTTACATGTGTAGATGTATTTCTGGTGTGTCTGTGGGGAGGAAGTTGATCTCCGCGTCTTACTCTTCCACCATCTTCCCGGAACCTCTGCCATGCTATTTTTGTCCACATGGTGACTTTGTTGTAAAAGTGAGCATGAGTTTGGGGAATGAGAATTAATTCTTATGTAGCTGTTCGTTTAACTGAGCTGACCGTTTGCCAACTCCCAGGATCCCCCAAGATTAGCCACAGTGGCCAGCACAGGTTCTCCAGGGAGCTACACAGAGGAAAAGCTCCAGGAAATAACACTGTATTATTGCAGTTTTTCCCTCAAATACGTGGTGAGCTGGCTGACTACTCAGCTTCAGAATGGGTTAACACTGACATCAAAAGCAGGTAAGGGGGTCTTTTGATCCCTTGTCCTGGGACATTCCCTATTCTCAGTCTCCCCAGTGAGGAAAGTTTAAGACATGTAAAGTCAAGGAAAAGCCCATTAAAGGCTAAAGGAGGAAGAGGTTTTCCTGCTAAGGTCTGGTTCAGAAGTCACCTAAGTCAATTTATTTGTGCCTTCTTACTTCGTGTCCAAATTTCCCAGCAGGTCAGAGGACAGAGTAAGGGGTTTCCAAACAAGAGGAAACAACAGAGTGATCTTACCAGCCCAAACCACTCACAAGACAATGAATACTAAACCCAAGAGAGATGTGTAGAAATAGAAGGATGGTATCCAAGACTGGTGAACATGTGACCAACCATTTACACCCTGCTGACACAGATTCGCATAGGATACAGCTATATATGCAGATTCACCTATAGTTTCGTGCATATCATTAATTTATTATTTTTAATGACTATTATTTTATGGTATGAATATACTGCAATTTATTTTTCTTATTTCACTTATTGATGGACATGGGGGTTGTTTCCATTTTTGGCTATTGTGAAAAAAGCTGCTATTAGGAAAAGACCTTTTGTGGACATGTATTTGCATTTCTCCTAGCTATATACATGGAAGTGGAATGTTTGGATAAGATGGGTGTATGTTTATCTTTATTAGAAACTACCAAAGAGTTTGAACCATTTTACACTCACACAATGAGTTTTAATTGCTTAAATTTAATTTAATGGGAGTTTTAATTGCTCCACATCATCATAGCACTACTTTCTCAAATCTTTTTAATAGTAGCCATTCCAGGGTTAGAAGTGGTATCTCATAGTATTTAAAAAATAAAAGCTTATGACAGTATATTTACACACAATAAAATATAGTTTTAAGTATACAGCCAATGAGTTTTGAAAATTTATGCACCTATATAACTATCACCACAACCAAGATATATATATGTGTGTGTGTATATATACTGATATACATATGCATGTATGTTTCCATCATTCTCGTACCCCTTTCTAGTCAGTAATGATCCCACTCTTACCTCAACTTCAGACAACCACAGAAGTGTTTTTGTCACTGTTGATTAGTTTGTTTTTTCTAAAATTTTGTATGAATAGAATCATAAAGTATTTACTCTTTTTCAATCAGCCTGATGTTCTTGAGTTATAGCCATACTGTTGTGTATATCAATAGTTTTTTCTTAACTGAGTAACATTTTATTGAATGAATGCACCATAGTGCATTCACTTGTTGATGGACATTTGGATTGTTTCCAGATTTTGGCTACTACAAATAAAGCTGATACTGTCTTATTTTGAAGGTACAGATATTAAGGTAAGCATGCAATAGAGTTGGGGAGAAACAACTAGGCTACTGGAATAGAATGTGGACCTTGAAACAAATAAATTCACAATGATGATGATGGTGATGATGATGATGGTGGTGGTGATGATGAGTGTTTTTTATATATTTATTTATTTACTTATATTTATATATATAAATAAAATCAGAAATGGTAGTTCCTATAAATGGGGGAAAGATGAGCTCTTTATATACTTTTCTGGGATAATTGACTAATTGTTCATTTGGGAGAATAATTAGCTTCCTAACTCACTTCATACAAAAAAAATTACAGATAGATTAAAGGTCTAAATGTGTGAAAAGTACTTTTTAAAAAAAATATAAAAGGATATATTTATGAATTTGAAAAAAATTATTTAAAAAAATCACCAAAAAAAGTGCAAGAAAGAAAACAATTGATAACATCTTAACTTTTTAAAAAACCCTGCAACTTCTGTGGAATAAAGATACCATAGAGAAGGTAAAAAGATAAACCATAGCCTGAAAAAACATATTAGCAATAAATAAATCCAATAAGGAACAGTAATCAAGAATGTATACAAAACTTTCACAAATTAATAATCCTCCAATGGCAAAGAACTTGAATAGGCAATTCATGGAGGAAGAAATCTGAAATGACAATTAACATATGATTAGAAGTTCAACTTCATGACTGATCAGGGAAAAACAAACAGAAATGAGATATTTTGTACCCATCAAATTTCCCAAAATTAAAAAATCTTTCAATACTAAATTGTTGGCAGGGATGTGGAGAAACGGAAACTTCCGTACATTCCTGTTAAGAGTGAAACTGGGACAGTTGCTTTGAAGAGCAATTTGCAATACTTGGTAAGGTCACTTTGTTTACATTACAATTCGACAGTTCTACTTTTAGGCATGTGCCCTATAGCTGCACTCTCTGTTACAGTAATCTCTAGCCACATGTAGCTATTTGAGCACTTGAAAAATTAAGATGTAATATAAGTGTAAAATAAGCATCAGACTGAAAAGACTTAGTATAAGAAAAAGAATGTGTAGTATCCGATTCATAATTTTATATTGATTATTTATTGGAATGATAATACTTTGGATATATTGGTTAAATAAAATATAGTATTAGAATTAAAATTCAACCTATTAGTTTTAATTTTTAAAATGTGGCTACTGGAATATTTTAAATTACATGTGTGTGTTGCATTATATTTCTACTAGACAGCGCTGGTCTAGGGAAACTCTCACACATCTACTCAAGAAGACATATACAAGAACGCTTATAGCAGCATCGTTTGCAGTCACAAATTTAGAAACAACCTCTATGTTAATCAATAGGGCTATGAATAATTTGTCCCCATGAAATGAAATTCTATACAGAATTAAAATAAATAAATTAGAGTTACATATGTAAGCAAGGAGAAAACTCAGAAACGTGTTATGTAATATTATGCAGAGTACATTAAGCAAAAAATACAGGTTATAGAATATTATATAAACTGTTATACCATTCATTTAATGTTTTAAGAACTCCACAGAAAAATAACAAATGTTGTTTATGAATATACATATAGAGTGAAAGTATAAAAACACAGGAATGATACAAACCAATTTCAGAATAATTATTGCCTCTGGGAATGGAAGGAGGAAAATGAGATTAGGAAGAGTTATATTAGAGACTTCAACTGTATTATTAATGTTTTATTTTCTTAAACAGATTGGGAGGAAAAATGGCAAATTGTTAGAATTTGTTAAAAGTTGTCATTGGGTACATAGATTAATCTTGTGCGTTATTCTCTATGGTTTTCTCTCTGTTAAAAATCGTGAATCATAAAAAGTAAATGAGAAAGCTATATTGTGTGAGACAGTTTTTGAAAAGACTAAATTTCAAAGACTTGGTGAAGATATTGCAAAGTAATAAAAGTACAGGGAGGGGGTTCTATTTATACCCATGAACTGGAAATACAGTAGCTTCATGTAGTGGCAAATGGTAAACCTTTGGAGAAAGACCACCCAGGTTCAAATCCTAACTGGGCTGTTTTTAAACTATGTAACCTTGAGCAATGTGGTTAAATTTTCATGTTTGTAAAGCAAGGATCACAATATTTGCCCTGCAGGGTTGTTATGAGGGTCAAAGTGACATACACATCAAGTGTCTGGCACGGTAGACATTCTATAAACTGTAGGCTCGTGTACATTAGTGCAGATTTTCATTCCCTCCCTTTTTGTCTGAGACCTTCCATGTACCTCCTGCTTTTCCCCCAACTTTAAAGCAGGGAGAAGCGGAACTCTGCTCAAATAAGAATAACACCATAAGCACATGTGACTGTGTCCCTGAAAAAAGTGAAAGGCTACTAACATAATGAATATACCTACAGTAAGTCCCATGCATATGGACGAGTTCCATTTGGAGAGCACGTTCTAAGTCCAATTTGTTCTTAAGTCCAACAAAGTTAGCCTAGGTACCCAACTAACACAATCGGCTATATAGTACTGTACTGTAATATATTTATAATACTTTTCACAAATAATGCATAAAAAACAAACAAAAAATAAAACATTTTTAATCTTACAGTACCTTGAAAAGTACAGTGGTACAGTACAACAGCTAGCATACAAGGGCATGTTCGCATCTTTGAAAGCTGGCAACTTGAAGGTTCATATGTAGAGGACTTACTGTATTTTTGGCAGAATGGAATTTAGTCAAAGCTTTGTTGTGTAATGGGATTAACACTTGCCTAACTGATCTCACACAGTAGCTATGAAAACGAATTGTGATGACTAGGAAAGGCTTCTCTGAATGCTGACAGATTCTTGCCTCTTCTGCAGCAGTCGATTTGTGGGACTTTTTCTCATTTTGACAGGTTTGAAGTGGAAAACACAGCCATGGGGGCCTCTGAAACCAAGAACTGGAACTGCAGAGATACTAGATGCTTATTATCAGGATGACCTTCACCTGATTCCCAATGAGTAACAACTAGCTGTCAGGACTGAAAATTATCTTTAATGCCATTGTCTCATGTGTTCCCCACAGATATGCAAAAATGAAGTAAGATAATCCTAAGGGATACATTCTACTTATGGGGGTGCTCCAAGGATAGACAAAATTTCCGGAGTTCCTTTCTGTCAGTCAGTCCACACATACATTTATCCACTCAGAAATTCATCCTTCCATCTGACGCACAGACCAACCTGGCACAATGTGAGAGGGACCACATGGGGTGTGAATACCAGCAGGTGGGGTCAGTGGGTCCATCTTTCAGTCTGTTCACCACATTCACTAAGGTCACCACTAAGGACCTCTTACTGGCCCAAAACAGCAGACATTTAACTATCCTTTTCAAGTACTATGGACTGCATGTTTGTGTCCTTCCAAAATTCATATGTTGAAGCCCTAATCCCCATTGTGATAATATTAGGAGGTGGGACCTTTGGGAGGTAAATATATCGTGAGGATGGAGCCCTCATGATGGAATTAGTGCCCTTATAAGAAGAGACGTGAGAGAACTTGCTTCCTCTCTCTCTCTCTGCCGTATGAAGACATAATCAGGAGGAGTGTTCTCACCAGGAACTGAATTGGTTGGCACTTTAATCTTGGACTTCCTAGTCTCCAGAACTGTGAGAAATACATTTCTGTTGTTTAAGCCAGCAAGACTATGACATTTTTGTTACAGAAGCTCAAACTGAGTAAGATACCAAATAAGGGATTCTACCCCATGTATGATTTCTCTCACCTGACCATTCCCTCCTTAACCCCCTCTTCTCTCTTGATGTTTGTCCCCTGCCTTGGTTTTCTTTCCACTTCTTGAGTGGTTAATTCTCAGTCTCCATTCCTCCTCCTCCTGCTTCCTAAGTCTTGGTGGGCTCCCAGGAAAATGCCCTCAGGTCCCTAATTTCCTCTCCCAAACTCGGTGGCCCCAAACTGAACCCGTAATCTTCCTTTCATACCTTGTCTTCCTGTGGTCACCATCAGTTACGGGTCTGGGACCTCAACTGCTCCCCAACATCAGGGGTCTCTGCAAAGTCAGAGTGATTGGCTGAATCAGAGGTTGCAAATTATGGAGCCTCAGGAATATTTTGTTTGTTTAAACTAAATAGTGTTTACAATAAATGGAAAATCACAAAAATCCAGATTTTCATTTACCCTTTAAACCTGAATTTCCACATGACAACAATAAGTGGGAGCTGATTGGCAGCTGCCCCCTTTATTCTAAGTACACACTGTCCAATATGCTGTGCAGTTTGTCATGGTCCCCACTACTGCCTATTGATCTCCAGCAAGATACCTGACATGTTTTGCTTTTTTAAAATTATTATTACTTGCACGGACCTTGTAGTAAGTTGTGTCATAGATTTGTGTGGAAACATGATGGTGCTTTTGCAGAATTTTTCACTGCATGTGCAAAGAATATAGATACTATTGCAGTAGTATAGGAAATGTGGGATTTACCATTGCTCCAGCTCAACCTCTAAATGAAGGAAAATGAAGCCAGGTTTCCTATGAATGAAGACTTGTTCCTGTTAGTATCTGTGGTAGCTGCTGTCTGCCCTGGTTTTTTTAATTATGTTTTTCATTAAACATGGCAAATAAGCTGTGTGTTAGAGCATACTTAGTCCAAAGACTGTAGTTAAGATCCCACCTGAGCTCAATGAATGAGCCACTCAAGTTTGCTCAGTGATTTCTGCTGTCTTAGTTGGACCCACTTATATGAGTTGCTTGGGTTGTTGCTGAATACAGCTCTCCAGGTCATCTGTTTTGATAAGAGCTGTGTCATTTTTTTACACCACAGATTTATTCCAGTGGATGTGCCCAGGAAGTGGGGCAGTCGCTCACACTTTTTGGAGATTCAGCTCCTTCCTGAGCTGTGCTTTCAGGTAAGAGATTGTGCCAGGCTTTGGAAACACTGGGTTATGGGTTAGTAGCTTCAGCTCCATGTAACAGGGTTTTCCAGGGCCCACACCTGAGCCCGAACAACTGTTTCTTTATAAATGGAACAGAAAATGATGCTTTTGAAAACTCCAAACAATAATTTATTACATTATTAAATCAGGGATAAGTAACATGTAGGAATAGATTATAAACAAAGAAAACTGCTACTAAGTGGTAGATGGTCTGTTTAATCTGTTTCAGTCCCCTGATAACATTTTGCAGGTGTAATCAGGGTTCTGCTCTGCTAAACTGAGCCACAAATCACCTTATCTGCCTGCAGTTTGCTGTTTGTATTTACAATCGTAGTTTTTCCACATATAAAGATCTTCAGGAACCTAATGTTTTCAGGGCCCTCCAGCAGTATATATACTGCTCCCCCATTTCCTGTCATAAAACGGGGGAAACATTTTAAGAATAGGTTTATTTGAGAGGGTGTGCCTATAATAGCTTTTTCTCTTTTTCACTATACTAAGCTATATTATATAAATAAAAATATGGTGTGAGCCAAATACATTCATATTTCAACAAAATAGAGTTTCTTGGCAGGCATTGAGATTTAAGTATCCTATCAAATGAAATCAACTCCACATTGACTTTCCCTCTCTGAGCCACCATATTTCTGAGATCTTACTACTTTTGGCAACAGAAGAAACTGGTCATTTTTACAGTAATTCAGGTTGAACAGGTTGGGGAGTAAAACCTGGTCTCCTCAAATCAAGTGAAGCCAAAGAATGAAGTGAGTCTCAAATGGCACCATTTGCTGCTTTAACCTGGGAGTCTTACTTCCCATCATTAAGAGTAGGTTTGAGAATGTCAAAGCAACTTGGCCATCTGCTTCAATTTCCTTTTTTTTTTTTTTTTTCAATTTCCTTTTTATCTTGGCAGATCTCCTCTGGCTGAGTGTATACAAAGTTGAGTCAATTCAAGAAGAAAGCAGGATAAAAAAAGAAGAAAGGGAGAGTAAGTAGATATTGGGGGAAGGGAGTGGGAAAGGAAACCTTTATTGAGAACTGACTATAGCCAGGCATTTTGTATATTTTATCCTATTTAATGTCATAAAACCCTGGTAAGTAGGTATTATGTCCATAATATTGATGAAAGATGTGAGATTTGAAAGACTGGCTAACCACCAAACCTGTATTCTTTCTGTTACTACCTGGAGGATAATAAAAAGTGAGAAGGATTATGACCCATTCACTTAGGGGATATGTTGAGAAGATGGTGCAAGAGAGGTGTGGAGCTCAAAAGGCTAATGTGAGGATGAAAGACTAAGAAGTATCATTTTATTTTAAAGGCTGAGAATCAAATACAGGGAGATTTGGCAAACCTCCTGATGCCTAGGCTTACTTTTTGATGGTTTGGGAGTGTTTGGAAGAATTTTATGGTTCCTTGACTTAGCCTCAGGTGAATGGTGAGCAATGGAGAACACAGTATGTTCTATCCATTAAGGCGCTCAAGTGGACAGGTGCCAGACATGAGCAAACTTAAGTGTTAAAAGAATGACTCTGATTGCTTTTTGGAGAATAGACAATAAGGACTCAAATATTAAACAAAGCAAACCAACCAGGGGTTAGGGCAGTTGTCTAGGGGAGATAGGGTGGTGGCAAGAACCAGAGTGGTAGTGATGGAGAGAGTGAGGAGTGCTTGGATTTACATTATATTTTAAAGGTAGAGCCAATATCATGGCTGATGGATTGGATGTAATGTGTGAGACAAATAGAGAAGTTAAGGATAATGCTAAGGTTTATGGTTTTTTTGACCTGAGCAACTGATTGAAACTGTGATGGGGGACTATCTGAGGAGAAACATTTTTAAAAAGGTAGAAGAGGAATTGAGTCCAGTTTAGGGTAGAATAACTTTGATATATCTAGTAGTTATTCAAGTGAAATTATTGGGAAGACAGTTGGATGCACACGTCTGAAGATACTGTATATGAGTTGGATATCAGGGCTGGAGGTATATACAGAAATACATGGCATTTAAATCCATGAGATTGGGTGTGATCACTATGGGCGTGAGTGTAGAGGGGTCAGAGAAGAGGTCTGTGGATCAAGGGCACTCTGGCTTTTGTTGTAAAAATTGCCACTGAGCCATCTTGGAGCTATCCAGAACTTTTCTCTCTTATAAACTCCACATCCAATTCATCAACAAATCCATGTTCTAACCACTGCCACAGCTATCACCCCAATCACAGCTGCCGAGATCACTCCCCTTGATGATTACAGTAGCTTTCTAGCCTTATTATGGCAGCCGGAGCAGACTAATACAGATGGTAGTGACTTTTGTAGTGCCTGATCTCTGGGTGACAGAACCTCTCCCCAACTCTCCCCACTTTGGTTCTCTAGTCCTTTTTAACACTTTTAAGCAATATCTCCTGCATTAAATACCTTTGAGCTGAAAATACCTAAGGTGATTTCCATTTTTTTCTGAATAAATCCTGATGGACACAATATTTGCTACCAAGGATGATGGCATTCATATTGGATCAAACTGCATCTATTGATATAGATAGAATTGCCAGAGATTTTGAAAACTCTGTGTTATCGTGAGCAGCTGGAGTGATTGCTATCAGCTTGCTTGTTTAGTTGACTGAAACCTGGACTCAACAGTGGCCTAATTCAATGAATCTGAGGTGCTGTAACTTTGGTGAAACAGAAAGGAAGAAATCCTAAAGCTTAGGGAGAAGAAAGCTGGAATACATTTTTCAGGTGTGAACCTCCTATATTCCACTGTGTCTCGAGGAAGACCCAAAGCATTTAGAAACGCATTGATGAGGGAAACACCATAATTTTGTAAAGCTCTGTACTGTCTGTCTCTTGCTACCTGGGCATGAAAGTGATAGATGCCACTTTACAATACACCCCCAGAGTGGCTGAGACCAAGTGCCAGCACTTAACTGCCTGAGACAACATGGGCCCAGGTCCTGAAATCGTCAGTAGGGATGGGACAGCAATGTGAATATTGTGACCCATTGTGACAATTTGATCTGTGTCCTTAGGACTGATAGATGGGCATTCAACGAAAGTAATAAATATAATCAGAAACATTTGAGACCTGGACACAGATCTTGTAGAACTGTGTGCTCTCACCCTGATCCCAGACTCAAGCCAGTTCAGTGACTTGTAGCCTCTTGAATGAAGAAGGGACTGAGTCTCCTTGAGGAAGGAGCCCGTGACAGGACCAGAGTTACAGAGTGTAAATATTCCTCCAAGATATCCCCCAAAGGACCTGCATCCATATAGCATGATGATAGTGAATTGAGGAAAGAAAAATAACAATATCTTTAGGAATTGTAGACAATAATTTGGAATGAATGTTAATCCCTGGGGACCTGAAATGCATCCGTAGTCTGCCAGAGTGGGGGCCTGTGGAGGTTGGGTGATAAGCAGAGTTTGAGTCTAACTTGACCTTACAGTGAGTCTAGAAAGTCTGAATTTACCTCAGGTTATTTCCTAAGTTCCCAAATGCATGATTGGAATAGACACACTGGTAAGTGGCAGAATCACCAAGTTCATTCCTTCACTTATGGGCTGAGGGTTATTAAAGTAGGGAGATCCAAGCAGAAGATGCTAGGGCTTCCTCTCCCTACTAATCCCTGGGTGAACTGCAGTTGTTGGTACTACCATTAAAGGCTGGAAAGATGCAGAAATGATGATTCCTTCCATATCCTTACTTAATTTTCCTGTTGGTCTGGCCATAAGGCAGATGTATCTTGGAGGATGACTGTACATTTTTGGAAAGTTAATCAGATGTAATTCCAATTGTAGCAGCAATACAGCTGGAGTAGGTGCCATAGAAGACTGAGCCACCCATCATCAAACTTGCTTATGTTTTAGAACCATTTCTACTCAGTTACAGCTTGGTGTCATGCATGCCCAATGCTATAAACTGGGATTCAGATAATACCCAGCTCACATGTAAAAGAATGAAATTAGAACACTCCCTAAAACCATACACAAAAATAAACTCAAAATGGATTAAAGACCTAAATGTAAGGCCAGAAACTATAAAACTCTTAGAGGAAAACATAGGCAGAACAGTCTATGACATAAATCACAGCAAGATCCTTTTTGACCCACCTCCTAG